TCCAGAGGCTTCAGGGAAGCTCCTGAAGCCTCTGGAGGGCCTCCCGGGGGTGGGGGGGAGGCTATTTTCGTCCTCCCCAGGCTCCTATAAAGCACTTGGAGCCTGGGGAGGGTGAAAAAAGCATGCCAAAAATGGGGGGGGGAGCACTTATCATGTACGCATGCGCACTGGGATTATGGGGAAAGCATTATGGGTCTGGCACACCCGTGCACAACCCCCCTGTGCTCCCCCCGCTTTTGGCATGCGAGCCAAAAAAGGTTCGCTATCATTGGTATATAGCATTGCTTTACAAATATACTAACATGTAATTCAATAACAAATAAAAATCAGAATTAGTTATACCCATAGCTTAATTATTTTCAATACAGAAAAAAAAATACATGGCAAGAGATTCTGAGTATTTTTGCCTTTCAAAGCCAAAAACACATAAGAACAAATTGTCTTCTGAATCTAGGAAAAGATATAATACCTCTTCTTTGCGTTTGGCTTCCAGCTCTTCAAGTTGTCTGATACGCGCCTCCTCTTCTCTCTTTGCTCTTTCCTCCTCTTCTTTCAGTTTAGCCAAGGCTTCTTGCATTGCTTTAACTGTGGCCTTACTGGGCCCTTTCTTTTTCTCTTTTTCCTTTTCATCTTTCTCTCCTTTCTTTTTCTTCTTATCTTTATCTTTTTTCTTTTTCTCACCTTCATTATCATTGACTAAAAAGGAAAGTTAATTGTTGAAGCACAAGACATAATTATACATCAGAAGAACATAAAAAGTAACAAAAGTTAGACACGCTTAAATTCTTAGTATTTTTTTCTCTCCCACATTTTACTCATGGTAACTTTTAAAACTGTTGAGCATTAAAAGCCACTTGACGGGAGCCATTTTTATGAAAAGAGCCTTCTCAGCTACCTTATTAGATGCAAAGAAAAAGCATTTGCTTTTATTTCATTTTACATCAGTGAATAAACTATGAAATCAGCAACATGAATAACTAAGCAGCATTCAATTAATTTTCACCACAAAATAGGTTTAAAGGAAAAGGTCACTGATGAGTCAAGAATGGGTCCAAACTATCATCAGTGCCACATTCATTAGATTACACTCTGAAACCTGCAAAACTCTAGGTGAAAAATTAACTATAAATCCTCTTCTTCCTAAATGTCTTTCACAAGCAAACTCAATTTCTCAGTGTACATATAAAACATTTCTCAGCATATTACAAGATTAGAGAAAAACACTTCAACAGTCCTCTGAGACACTTTTTTCACCCCTTATTTTTGTTGAGAAACCAAGTATATATATATATATATATATATATATATATATATATATATGTATATGTATATGTATATGTATATGTATATGTATATGTAT